GACGGTGGCAGGTGGCGGTAGCAGGAGGCCGTTTGAAGTGCGGCTGTCAGGCGTCAGATCCCAAATCAGTTAGGCGCGTCGCCCCTGGATACGGACGTCCTTGGCGTCAGGTACGTTTGGTCAGCCTGGTGTTTCGGGAGCGAAGTGTTGGAGTGAGCGAGATGTCTTGAGTTCGGTTTGGGGAGTGTTCTGAGCTGCCACGGGCCAGCTCGGGTCACAGCTTTGCGAGGCTTGGGGCCCAATATAGTTTGTGCTCCTTGCAGGGAGCTCGGGCTCTCGGTAGGGAGCTCGGACTCCCAGTAGGGAGCTCGGGCTCTCGGTAGGGAGCTCGGACTCCCAGTAGGGAGCTCGGGCTCTTGGTGGGGAGCTCGGGTTCCTAGTAGGGCGGTCTGGGGTTCGGGCTCAGTAGTGAACTTGGACTTGCTTTCGGTGTTTGCTTCGGGCGCTCTACTGTCCCGAATTGCTTGTTTTTGCCACATGTCGGATGATTGCGAGGTTGGGCCAAATTCCCCTTCATCAATTTAGATTCCAATTTCAATTCTGACTCCGATTCGAATTTCAATTTCAATTCCGACGTCTCTACCATTTTCTATCAAACCAAGCTGAAGGTTATAATTGAAAAGGTGCTAGGTTACGTGATCGACGTGGTAAAAGGAAGTACACATATATGGATAAATGGATAATCAATAGTCCTTATTAAATGTGATAGTTAGATTGACCGAGTCATTGCCATGGGTGGATGCGAAAATTTGAACTAAACATGGATGGAGGCTGCGTGAATAGCAATACTACCGCCACCAGTATTATACTATTGGCCCAGGCCCCATTATTATGAGCAGAATCGTAAAACGACTGCAACTCTTTTTTAAGACCACGCTTGCTGTCGTTCCCTCGTTGCCGATCCAATATCTTGTGGTCCAAACTCTGGAACATCGTTGAAAACTTACATCAGTAGATCTCTGATTCTGATGTGGTTGGGGGTGGGGGAAGATGCACCACCCCATCGCTCATGTTCTGTTTCTTCTGTTTGTGTCTTCATGTCACAACATAATAGATGGAAATTTTGACTCACGAGGCCATGGTTGGTCCAAAATGTTTACCACGGAAGGAAATATAACTAGGATGCACTGTGACTCAGGTAATTAGTTTTGTTTCATCTTAAAATCGCTTTTTGGCCAAAAGGTATTAATTCGATTATTAATTTATTGATCCAAGTGTTCGAACCATTGAACTATTGATTCAGATAATGATTTTTTCCATTTCTAATGTTTTTAAATCAGAACGGGCCATGCATCCATTCAAACCGAATGATTGGACCATTTTACTTTTTTTTTATTTTAATTTATTTATACCACTCAATATACAATTGCAATCCAACCCAATACATGACTCGATATCCATTTTGCAACCCCACAAAAAGTCTTAAACAAATGTAACATACTAATTGATGAGACCGGTTGAACTGCATTTGATGACTGTAGATGGGGCTCCTGAACCAATAACAACATTCCACATCAGTCATGCCCATGAAGTAAGATATTGGAGTGGGTATGACTGTCATAGGGGCATTACTACCGATGAAACAACTAAACACAAGCCATCAAGGGGCAAGGGCAAAGAAGTAACACGACACGAAATATGGTATTTGGCTATTTGCATGGAAGTAACACGACACGAAACACAAGCACCCATGGAACCTTCTCTCACAAGTTCCTGCCAATAAAAAATAAACGAGAATTTAATTGGAGATATTGGAAGACATGTGCTTGTTGGATTTCTCATTACTCAAGAGAGAGTCTGGTCAGACCCGGATCTGATAGATAGGACGGTCGAACTGATGAACCAGTAATTTTTTTTTTTTTTTTTTTTTCTGTTTTGACATTTTTACTGGTTGAACCATTGACATGCTGGTTAAATCGGTGATCTCAACCAACGAGCTTTCCGATTTTTCGTCCGATCCCGGTCCGATGACGGCACTTAAAATAGCCTGAACCATTATTACGTATCAAGTTAAGAGTCAAAGACTCAAATAAATGAATAACGGATGTTACAAGGAAGAAAGAAACGATATTCACTCAGGTATTTGCTTGCGTAGCTGGTTAAATCGGTGTCTTCTCACATGCATGTCACTTTGGGTTCGTGCGGAACTAACGGGACGTCCGTTAGCTTGTCCCGTTACTCCAAAATACCGCGTGTCCTCTGATTCCTCTCTTCTATATTGTAACTCTACCTAAACCCTGCACTTCCTCCTCCTTCATCCCCAGCGCCGATGCCGATGATCATTCCAGCGATGACCATTCCGCGGACGACCGTTTTTTCATCTCTTCTATTCATATTTTAACTTTTTTTTTTTTCAAAACAAAATCATAGAAGGAAAGGCTCACCGGCAACCACCCGACCATTGTTCAGGTGCGTTTTTTATCTTCATTCTCGTTTATTTTATTTTTATTTTGTATTTTTCTCCAACCGGTGCTATTTTCCAGAGCGCATAGGACATTAGGGGATTTTACACTGTAATGAATTTTTTGTTTCCTGCCGAAATAGGGGAGATTCAGCCGAGAACATGTGTGTAATTTCTTTGATTATTATTATTTTTTATTTTTCCCGCAACAGTTACTCATGCATGTTGTGTGCATTTCTCTAACCAAGGTGAAGTTTGGTACCGTTTACGTTTATTCAGTAAACATTTATTAATGATGCCACACATTGGCGACATCTCAGCATTTTCTCTCTCTTTCTTTTGCATATATAAACTTTGGTTTATGTGCATACTGACGTCTAATGACGCCCAGTTAATTTCAATTATAATAACTTGGAATTGTTGGCATGCGAAATAATACATGAATTACAATTCGGTAAATCAGTAGTCGTCTCCCGAGAGAACATTTTTGGTACATTTGAAATGTAACTGAAACCAAATATACCCGTAATCCACTATCGGTTACAAATTACAATTCTCAGGAATCCAGCCTCGGGTGCAACATCGACCACAACATATCTGGAGCCAAATACATCATAAAAACTTTTAGATTCCCACACATAGCACAGGTTGGAGAAAAATACAAAATAAAAATAAAATAAACGAGAATGAAAGAAAAAAAAGACGCACTTGAACAATGGTCGGGTGGTCGCCGGTGAGCCTTCCCTTCTGATTTTGTCTTGAAAAAAAATAAAATGTGAACAGAGATGAGAAGGACGGTCGTTGCCGGAGTGGTCGTCGGCGTCGACGCCGAGGATAGAAAAAGAGGAGGAGGTGGAAGGTTACAGGAACAGAAAGGACTTCGGATCCCCTGTATACAAAGGAGGAGATATTCTTCGTATATGACTGTGATAAACGTGGGAAGAATTCTCGTGGGCAGAAGATCCAGACTCAACAGGAAGGTCGAGAGGAGAGGGAACGGAGGGCACGCGGTATTTTGGAGTAACTGGACAAGCTAACGGACGTCCCGTTAGGTCCGCACCAACTGAAAGCGAGAAGCGTGTGAGAGAACACGTGGCGAGGGCTTATTGTGTGGGACGTTTTTGGGGCGCCATTTCGTGGGGCGCAGATTTGTGACACACTTTTGTATCCACTACAAGTAAGGTATTATTACAATTAAAAAAGAGGAAGAAAAATAAAATATTCTACCGCTAAAACCGTAAAAGGTTTACTGTTTGGTTACTCAACGTTTCCAACTTTTTCCCAAACCAAAGGCAAACCCCCCAAAAAACCCCAAACCCCTAGGCGCAGGCGGACAAGAAAAATGCTGCCACAATGTCGCCACATTCGCGTGCGCAAAGTGCATTTGTCCACGTGTCAAAAAGGGGTCATTATCGGCGGGTTCCCAAAAATCACAGTTACTGAAAAATAGCAGTACAAACTACAAAACCCGCGTTAGGAAGGATTTCTGGTAAGGTGGCGGGCGGAGGAAGTGCACGGTGTGCACCGAAGGTTTATTATTGGTGGTTTTATTAATTAAATTAATATTTTGGTTGTTATAAATATACAGCCTTCTGTTTTTCTTTGCTTTGCTTTTTATCGGTATTCGGTACGGTTGCGGGCGTCAAACCAATCTCTCCTCCTTTTCTTTGGCAATCAATTTATCCAATTTCCATTCGATTTCATCCTCTTTCTTCTGCTGCCTTTTTCTCTCGATCGTTTCCAGCCGTCCGATTGATCGACCGGCCGGCGCTAACGTGTAATTTACATTAAAGGTATGCGTTTCCGGCGAAACTTTTTTTCCTATTGGCCGTTGATCACTGTAACGTACATGGTTTATGCTTTACTTGTCATGGATCGTTAGAATTTATGTATATTCTGTTATTGGAATTATTACTCTAATTTCCATTGTTCTGTAAATTTTTAGTATTTCTACAATTTTCGTTGTTTCTTGTATGCGATCGGCGGCTTTTGATGTCTGTAGAACGAAAGTCCCTTGCATAGTCACGCAGTCTGGTTTCTGGAAGTTATTTTCATCCTCAGGCCTGGAGGAGTTTACCTTTTTGGTTGATTATCAAGGGATTTATCTGGCCGTATTATTTTTTTCCAAGTATCAATTTAAGAGTTCTCAATCTCGGTTTCTGGGTGGGGAATTTACCCAATGATTGAACACGATGAACGTTTTTTAGATGATTTCCAAAGTTTCAAAATACGCAAAAGAAGAAAGAATCCGGAAGCTTGGTTGCTATTGTTTTCTTTGACAATTTAGACTGGTCGAGTTTTGCATGGTCTTAAACGTTATCCACCAAAGGTCCTGTTTTCTCTTTCAGCATCGTCCTTCTCGTTATAAGACACTTAAATGTAATGTGTATTTAGAATGGAAATTGAAGTACGGATTGCCCTTCGAAGATCACATAATTACAAAAAGAACAGTGTTTCTTGGGTTGGGTGGGGCTGGGGTATTAGCTACATTCATATGGATCATATCCGATTCTTTGATAATTATATAATTTCTTCTCAGCTCAGTTGCTCGATGTTGTCTTCCAATCTCTTGCTTTAAATCTTGCTACCCGTCCAGTACTTCCATATATCTATCTTGTTTTTTTTTGTGTGAATATTCAGTGCTTCTATTGTTTGACACTTGCACACATACAAAAAGGGGAAGAACCGAAAGTATAAAGAAGAAATGATCTGATTAATCTCTTAGAGCATGAGAGGGAGGACATGCGCAAATATGATTTCTAATGTCAACCAGTGTCAAAACTAAAACAACTTACTCTGTTTCTATTCTAAAATTATACTATTAGACTGATCTGTCTTGTCTTTATTCTACTCCTGATCCATTTCTGAAAATAACTTATAAAAGGTGTGGGAACATAGTGAAGGATACAGTTCAAGTCTGAGAGTTTGATAGGGTTCATGTGGTCTAAGCACAGTACTTTTTGGATGCCATCTTTTGCATTCTTTCAGGTACTCTGTATTTTTGTGGAAAAACAAACAATTTCACCATAAATTTCTCAGTTTGTCAATTGGTAGACAGGTTTGTTCTAATGACATGTTCTTAAACTCTTTATTTTGCTGTGTTAAGTTTGTTACATTACTACATTACTATCAAGATCCACCCAAAAGATAATCTTGAAGCATATGAATATTCTCATTATTGTCCTTATCCTTTATTAGGTATAGTTGTTTTCAATGAATTTGCAGGTTTATGGCAACAATGATTTATATATTGCTTGGGCACAGCCTTCTTTTAGCTTATTTGTTCTGACTATGGTGATTTGGAAGTGCTTAGTTGTAGACTGGAATAATGCCTGTTTGTGCAGGTAAAGAAGGATTGGTATAACATTGAACCTCTTCTCTTTTTTCTCTGTTTCCATCTATCTCCTCAATCCTGCCTTCTCTGCCATCCCTCTCCCCAAAGAAAAAAAATGGCATACTCCTCTCATGGTCAGAATATCCAGAATTTTTTTGTTGTTTTAAAGAATACTCTCTTGGAATTTATTTATTAGTAGCCTGATTGGATGTAGTGTTTCCCTATCAGCTTGAATTTTATTAGCTTTGTCTTCACTAGCTACTCCAAATCTAATCCTTTCTATTTGCAATATATTTTACCTTCTGTTCTGGAACAGATGAAGGCTCAATTCTATTGGCATGAATCTATTCTGACTCCCAAATGCTTGTTTCATCTTAAGTGGGAGATACTTTATGACCTATCAATAGGTTATTCTTTATTTAAAGAATAGCTTGGTTGATTGCTCTCTTATTTGCATCGCAGCTGAGGTTAACATAGGGTTCAGGCACTCTGCTGACGACCTCCATCAAATGACAATAATTATTTGCTTGCCTATGATCCTCATCTTCTCATATTTTTTTTTGGTGATGAGGATTCTCAAAGCTGTACTTGGCTAGGAGAATGTGAACAATAGAGATCATTCAAGTTGCCATTACAGTTCACTGAATGATCTCATTATACCTTGTTCACATGGACTGTTATTCCTGCCATATAGTACTGCTCAACAGAGGTATTGCTAAGTTGTGGATCTTCTTAATTGACATTTCATCTGCACATCATTGTGAAGAGTATGTTTGCAATGATGCAAGATATTAGTATGCTGGTAATACCAAGGAGCCTATGTAACATTTTTGGATCTTTTCTATGGTATGCCATGAGGTCAACTACTTATTTATCTAGGGCCCTAGCATGAAATTGTTTGTGGTTAGTGGTGGTTTTTTTTTTTAATTGGGGCTGACAGTTGCAGGGAATCCTCTGGTTTTTCTAATTTCATGTTGTTGTACAAGTGTCTTCTGAAACAAATATGTATTACAGAGCTCAGTTGCCAGCATGGACCCCAGAAATGCTAGAGTTGCTCATAAAAGGATATGATTTTTAAAGTCCTATCTCCCCACCTGAAAAAAATGAAAGAAAAGAAAGAGAGAAGTAAATAGATAAAAAAGGTATAAAGATGTTGTCTGATCTTCTGGATGGTGAATTGATGGGTGCCTGATTTCTCATGTAACTATTATGTGTGCCATTGTTGGATTCAGAATGAGCAAGTTGGGTGTACATGGTCTATTCAACTGAAACACCTTATTCTCATTTGGTTGGACTAAATGATTGTAAGTTCTAGGTAATTTTTTGGAGGAATTTGGTTTTAGAAAAATGTCCAAGTTGGAGCAGGTTTATAAACAATATCATCTTCACATTGCGGTTGTTTGACTTACGGTATATAGACATACTTTGTAGAGTGTGCTGATGAGACTATTGATGGATTAATTAAAGAGACTGCCTGCTTGTGCAGGAAATCACACTTATATCTTTTGAGCAAAGAAAAGAGAAAAAAAATTGAGTTGGTAGCCTTCTGGGAATTTATCTTCTTGTAGCTAGGATCTCATATTTGGTGCTAAAATATTTATCTGCTCATAATTGCAAATTTATTTATTTATTTTTTTGCCTTGTACGACTTACATGAAAAACAGGCCTTCCAGACATCTACAAGTAGAACTCATTCCAAGGCAAGTAATCTTGGTAAATAGACAGAACCATCCTCAACGGATTTATGTAGGCTTGCTATTTAGTAGTAACTTGTAATAGCTATCTAACTCTTTGTAATCTTTGATAAGATATTGGTAATAAGATCTACACCATCTGGGTTAAGGTTAGCATCACTGAGCTCATCTTGCATAGTTTTGAGTGTAAGACCTTCAGATTTGGGTTTATATTTTAATTTTTATTAGCCAAAAATTGGCAAATCTACTATATAATGTTCCATCCTTCCTTCCTTCCCCCTCTCTGTCCCCTTTTTAATGGATCTAAGTTTTACAAAGATGAATGGTGAATATCTTCATAATAATTAAGTGTTCCATTAGTCCTCTTTTACCAGTTATTATTTGTGGTTATTTGAATGAGTAAGCTGCAGGATTTTATTGATGCCTAGCATCATCATAATAGCACATTGATGGCTTATTAACACTTGAGAATGTGGAGAAATTTTGGTGAACAACTGTTGTTTTCTGGCTTGTAGCCATTGCCTTGGTTTTTTTTTTTTTGTAAGTTTTGATTTCAGTTGGCTTTTATCTTGATTGTCACTGATCATTTAAAGATCATCCCTTCTAGGCTGCACAGGAAATCAAAATGAGATAAGTAACAAAAGCTAACGCAATTGCACATGAGGTTGGAAGGAGATGAGTGAAAGTGGAGTAGGAGCATAATCACCCTTTCATGTTCACTTCGCTGACTCAATCTTGTTTTTCTAAATATTCACAAAACGACAAATATAATGGAACATTGTTGAAGAATTTGGATCCTTGGGGGATGAGAACGTAGTTTGTTCTTCCAGCACAATACCTTGAGTTCAAGTGAAGGTGGTCAATGGATGGTCATGTTTTGCGGTGGCTATACTCATTCTGTTTCTTTTCTTTTCTTTTTTTAATTGATAATGGTGGCCCTACTTGTTAGTATGTAGGAATGTTCTATTGTTCTTTCCTACTTAAAGTGCGAATGGAATGGAAGAAGATTCATTGGCCAAACTTGTGTACATAGATACTACATACAGGGATTTTTCTTCCCTAGCCTTTTTGTACAATATTTATTTGTTTTAAATAAAGTCTCATAATGAAGATGAAGAAGTAAACAAGAACATACAACTTGCATATATTTCTTATATATTTTGAGTAGCACTTATGATATCTTCATGAACTTACTGACAAGTACTGTGATATCTCCATAAACAAATGAACTTTCTGGACAGTCATTTCCAGTTATGCAAGTAGGAACAGACAACGAGTGGAGAATGATGTTCCACATTAATTGTTATCTTAATTTCAGTAAGAGGAACAGATCTGTATCAAGTCAAAGTTCGTCCTTGCAAAACTATTTTATTCAGTACATAATAATTATAGTTTTTCATTTACTGCCATATTCCCATTAACCTATAGTGTTCTTTGACTTGAAGACTTAAAATACCAAAGTTAAATAAATTAATCTAAAGTTAGGAACTGTCTTAATGGCAAATTTTATCAGATGAAAGCCTGCCATGTTATACAATAACACTAGTTAACGTAGATGCTAAATGATGTTGTAGTAACAGAAACAGAATACCATGAAATTTACCTGGTAATCTTTATTCCTATATCTATGTCTTGAATCCTGGTTCAGTTGAAAGATCCTTGTAGAATTAGAGATGGTACTTAACTGAAACAACAGAAACTCTGCCACTAAATGAAGAACATTGACGTGTGTTAAAGAGCATAATATATTAAATGGAACTTTTAACATGGCCAAATATCACATGCCAAACATGGCATGTTCCTTATCAAGAAAACAAAGAGTAGTACAAGATGCAAAATGAGAGAAATGGGACAACATTAGAAGGGCATGATCTTATCATTTGTACAAAACAATCCTATAAACTTCTTGGTTGCTAATAGATCCAACTAAAGTTGCCAAACTAGGCATGAAAGGAAACATGGTTTTAAAGGGGAAGGTTCTCTGAAAGGAGTCCAATGTTACAGTTGCTTTCAACCACAGTGCTTTCTGCAAGTACTAATGCTTTGGGCTTGTAAAAACAGAAAATTCCAATTGAACCTTAAAGTACATGGGGATTGTTTTCTTTGTGCCTGGAACAAGCTTTTGATTCCAAAGGACCAGGTTGACTGTTGTGGATTCATGGATGAAAAACTTGATTATGTCTTTGCTCGAGGGGTCTGCTTTACTTGGAAGTGGGTAACTCATGCTGCCACTCTTTTATCTACATCAGGAAATTATTACTACCTGCACTTTTGAAGTCCTTACAATCCACACCGGGAGCAAATAAGATGATAGGAAGGAATATATTAACTTTTTCTTTAGTATCCTTTTATTACCTTTCTCCTAAATTTCTGTTGTTAGTGAGATACACAAGCCTAAAGTATTTTAAGGGACAACTACAAACAGTTTGGCAAGCTTAAAATTCAAAGCTAAACCTTTATCTGCACATCATAGAGTATGAGAATGTCAAGCTTTATCTTCTTGTATATTTTTAGAATTGGAAGGATTTGTTTTCCTTAAGGGTCATAGTTGTATGGATGATCCAAGTGGCAATGCCATTAGAAAGGGATACACTTATTTCCACAGTTAGATCTGCATTGAGGATTTTAGAGCCAATTGAACTTATCCCATGACCATTTATCCTTTTTGTTTTTAGTTTATGAAGAGAGGTGGAAAGTTACCGAGTAGTAAGAGGTTTTTGTTAGAGGTCATGTTGAGCTTTAGAGGAATTTTGGGTTATAAGGTGGAGGGTGGAGGTTTCCCAATCAAGTATTTGGCAATGCCTTTGTGTTCATGCTAGGGGCCACTTGAGCAACTGGACTGGAACTTTATTTAGGCAGGAGGTGGTGAAAGAAGGGGGCACCTATTCGACATACAGTCCATTTACCTTGCCAAATATGCTCCAGCGCCAAGGCATATGCACCAATATCATACCATACACTATCAATGTGTAATTGTGGGTTTAACAGTACTTGAACTTAGCACAGCACAGTCAGATTATCTGGATTGAAATTTAATTAGACAAAGAGGATAAAAAACATCTATCTTTATTACAGGGAAAGGTTCAATCAGAGTTAAAGCATCTTACGTGTTACAGCCATTTGTTTGTCTTAGTCACATCTTTTCCTCAAAGGAGTTCCTTCAAGAATCCAAGAAGTTAATTGTTTTGTCATTGATTTCCTTACCCTTCCTAGGTTTAGGTGGGTTAGAATATGCAGGTTCAGGGATGATGATGATGGTGATGATAATAGCTTTCCTGCTTCATGTGTTTCCTCTCTGAAGTGTTTCACCAAAGTTCTTGTAGAAGCTTTATAATGGGCATATTTGCTTGTAAGGTAAGTAGTATTGGTATGGTGCTCTCTCCCTCCCCCCTTTCTCTCTCTCTCTCTCTCTCTCTCTGTATTCTGTCTATTGGTCAGTTGTTTGTTCTATCTATTTTTTCTTTTGGTCCTTTTATACCTTTGGAAAGCTTTTCTCAAAAATTTGTGCATTGAAAGCACCAGCTTTTTTGGGAATACTGTGGTTCATTAAGTTGTCTAAACCATTTTGCTTGCCACTAAGTTTTCCTTAGTAACTTTATAAGGACCTAACCATCTTTCTTTGAAGCCTATCTTAGCTTTTCATATAGGACAAATGTTTGGTTAATTAGTTTTCATTATTTTCACTGTTAACAGGAACTTTTCTTTGGCTACAGTTAGTTACTTGCCCATCTACAGGATAGCCAAATTTGGTAGATGACTTGTTTAACCCTTCACCGCTACAGCCTTCGACTGAATAATGGATGGTGTTGCAAGCACCTCAATTTGGCAACGGAATCAAGGATCTCCATTCCTGAAAGTCCTTTTTATCCATCGAGATGAATTATTTGTGCACAGCTGCAATTTGAAGGCTCTAACCTTTGTATTGGGATGCAGACTGTAGAAATTTCAGGAGACTGCTACATGATTTCCTGATTCATCTTATCTCTCTCCCTGTTCTATGAAATTCATTATTACAAATCAGAACACAGCCATGCTACTCCAATGAATTGAGGCTGTGTTGAGACTGGGATTTTCTTTTGTGCCTCTCCAGTATTTTCTGAGGATGGTAGGGTCCTTAGAACTAGTATTTATAGATTCAGGGTGTTGAATATTGAACATGCAAAGAGCATTTGTGGCATCAAAGGTCCAGGCATACCCATGATTTCCCATTGTTGTGGTCATGCTGCTTTAATGTGATGGATCACCTTATTTGCTGCAAATTTTCATTTGAGGGCCTGTGTTTTCATTTACAGTGTGGTGGGTCGACTACTTGGATGAAAGCATTTCCATGCTTTCAGACATTTCTGCCAAGGCTTATATTGCTTTCTTGGCATTGGGAGTTCTCTCAACTTTAGCTGAAGTAAGTGGCAAAAATAGAGGGGCAGGACAGCAAATGAGCCCACTGTATAAGATGTATGTTTTGTGGGATGAGCCCTTGTGCTAACTTGCTCTCTGGTTCTCCTTCAGGAGGGCTATTCCCTAATGAAAACTGAAATGATACTGTCTGGACATTCATGATCATGCCTGTAGTTCATAATGCATAGTAGACAAGTTGATGCTTGAAAGCAGATTATGCTTTTCACATAATATGGATAAAGCATGGGTTTCAGAAAGCACTAATTTGGATTTAGTGCATGTTGTATATTGCCAATGAGAGAAGAGTGTGATTAATTGGCAAGGTGGAGATAACTCATTTCGGAGAATGCTACTGAAGATCATAATAGGGAGAGGAAAAGATGGATGTTACATGATTGTTGGGACTGATATCTGCTACAAAGAACGACTGTTACTAAGAAGATGGAGGAGAATTAGTGTCTTTGGATCAAGGCTTTTATTGCTGATCAATATATGAATTTGATTACCATAACTTATATGTTGAACAGTGGATTCATTGGCTAGCATCAGAACCCTAAGCTGGGACTTGGGGGGATAAAAATATTCACTGGAAGATGAAATCAGGAGAGAGTATTGACAACTTCTCTATTGGGCTGTTTCATGAACACTATATGCCTTTAAAGCTTCATTGTGCTGCTCAAGTTTTCACATCTGATCCCTCTATTAGTGTTTCAAGAATGTCCCTGGACTTTGCCATTATGGTCAATGTCAAACAATTCCATGAAGCTTCTAACAGGAAGCTAATCATCTTTTTGGTTGTTAGCCATGAACACCCTCCTTTATTATGAGGGAGCTTATCCTCAAATTGTAAGCATCTGTATGATTATTCTGGGTAGGGTACTTCAAGCACTGTATATGAGTTACACTTGTACACATTTTGGCTTTATGGGTTATCTTTAAAGGACCTGTGTCTAGAGATACAATCTTTATCTGTTGACAAAACTCTTGGTAGTTATTTTTTTCTTAATATGATCTTTTCATGGTAAACAGGTGTTTTGGTTATCTACAAATGGATGTCATTATGAAGTCAGTTATTTTATGGATATACATAATATTTCCTTTCAGTGTAATATATGCAATTGATACTTGTATCAAGATTCCCAGTTACCATTGTGTCCATCCCTAATTAGACTATTTGACAAGGCATTAGCTATGTGGCGTGCCTTGTTTGATGTTTATCTTAATTATTTATCCTAATTTGTTGCAATGACAGAGGGTGCTGATTCATATCAGCATGCTCTTCTTTTGAAGTACTAGAGCTTAATAATGCCATCCTTACAGCCCCAGTTTTAGTCATTTTGTTTTTTTCATATGTTAATTGTAAGGTTAAGATTACTAGCTTATTTACCAAGGGTACTGTCATGCAGTGCATTAACAAAATAACTAACCACTTTGGTTCAATTTTTCAAGAGAAAAAATTTAAAGGCTGCAACCCTGAAGCCCAGCCAATGACATTTTTGGAATCACCATCACCTTCAACCAATAAAAGCCTAGCACATATAGCTTTTGCAGCTCTTAAATCCAAAAGGAGAGCCCTGATTTCAGACTCTGATTTCAGTCTCACCAATAGACCCACAGTAAACCCAAAGAATGCCACCATTAGCTTCTGAGACAAGGCCTCCAGTCCCAGAAGCCCCATGACTACCTACTCTGATTTTGCAACTTCCATCAAATTTCAAAGAGAAGAGGAAGGGGGGGGGGGGCGCTTGATTCTGGGCAGAGAGGTGGGTGCTCTGTTCCAGAAGAGAAGAACTTTACCAAAGTTTCTGTTCAACTAATCAAAAGAGGTGCCTCTGAACTGATTGCAGTAAGAAGCCAAGAACACACGGTATGCAGGACATGGTTTTTTAAGGCTTCCCACGGGGAGTGTTTATTTTCAAAAATTCCTTTGTATCACTCTTCCCATAAGCACCACAGATCAGCATGCAAAACAGAGCTCCAAAAAAGATTATCTTTTTTTCCCAACTTACATTTTGGCGAATGCGAAAAATGATCAGTTACCTTAGTTGGGGGAACCCAATAAGGTATATATTTCTTGAGTCAAATGATGGATGTAGATATGCGAATGCCTATTAAGATATAGGATCAAGGGAACAGTGAAAGTTGGCTTCACAAACGTTTAAAGCACTTACCATCATTGTTATCTCATCCAAAGGCTGTGATTCATTATCCCATTTTTTCCAGCCTAACGTGTGCTTTGTTTGCAAAACAAAGACTATGAACTAAATTTTAGTATCATTCTTTTCTTGCATAATTGTAGTCTATATCAGTTTATGAGATTGCATCTATATCTCAAATTTAGAACATATCTTCTTTTTAATCAACTAGACAGCCACCTAGGCACTGACTAGTCATTGCATCGACCAGAGAGGCCAAAACAATGCAGTCTATTGCTTCACCACAGTGATCACACTGGGTATTATGACCCAAGAAAAAAAAAGATACACAGAGTATTTGGTAACTGCAAGTTAACATGTTCATTAAGTTAATACAGGGTATAGTTGCTGGTTACCCATATCCTCTGCAACTACATTGGATAGGCATGCTACTTTAAACATGATTAGTGATGAGTTTGATCCAATTTTCTCATCCTACAATAAGTACCTTCATTCCTATAAAGTATGGTTATGGAAATCAGCATTGTTCTTTTATTGATTGGTAAGATTCAAGTTTTATTAATCAAGTGGTCCAACCACAGTAACCTAATGGTGCCCCACCAAGCCTTGGGGAAAAGGCCCCAAACCACAGTAGCCACACAGAACTGACCACAATTGATCCAACCAAACCCAAGAGTGTTGCAGGATACCAGCAGATGTGATGCAGTGAACCTTTCTCTATTTGGGTCACTGACATAGACTGTTTTAAGTGTAAATATTTTTCTGATTCTGCAATGAATTTGGTTGATTATTTGGGTTTTAAAATCAGATAGCTGTCTGGTGGACTTTTCTGATTATAGTGGAGATGGACCTGAAATATTTACTTAAAATGTGACAGGAATAATATATATGTGGTTAATGCAACAATAGATTAATAGCAATTTGGAGAAAAGTTTCTTGTGTACGAAATCTTTCATGTTTTCAAGTATTTATTTAAGTTTCATTGTACTTTTTCCCTTCTGTGCAGGTTCTCTTTTGCTCTTTTTCTCTTTTTCTCTTTTGACTTCAGAGCTGATCCGTAAAGAAACATTGTTATGGGGCATAGACACATATACGGTACATCGCAAACTTTTGAGATGGACCACGACCAGAACTGGAATCATATGCACATTGAACAGCCTTATATCCACCTGGGTACCATAGCTTTAAACCCTTGTTATGTGCATTCAATTATTAATCTTCCTGTAGTTGGGTTTGTAAGACAAAATCTATGGACTACACATTAAGATGCTTACATCTATAAGGGAATATTCAGAATATGTGGTACATGTGGGACTTGGAACCTGCCTTTGATGGTTCACCTGGGAGATTAAAACCCACGTGCATTACATTTAATAACCATCTCCTACACTTGGTCTGTAGATTTGCTTTGTCATGGTTAACATATTCTCAAGTCTGTATTGCAGGAAGGGCCAGTGCTTCAGAAAATGGATCTTATGCTTTTCCAGTGGAGAATTTGCCAACAGGAGTAGCAAATTTTACATCTCATTTGAATTCATCTCTGAGATCAAATGAGTATTCTTCCTCAAGTCTCAGCATGGAAACACTTCATCGACCAGCTATTTCAGGCCCCTCTTATGATCCTTTCCCGCATCCCTCAGTTGCTGGAAGTGTCTGTCCAATTCCACAGAATTATCCTCATCACGCATCTTCTTCTGGGTATTACAGGCATGCAACTCATGGAATAGAACCCGGTACTCTTAGTCCTAATATGGGCAATGGAAGGGGGTCATGCAAAAGGAAAAGCCCAGCTATTTCTATAGCCTGTGAGAGAGATGGTAGCAGACACTATGGTTCTGGAAGTTCCTCTGGTCTTTCTATTTCATCTGGCCTACAGCAAGAGAAGCCAAATTTACTTGCTCAACATTTACCCCGGGAACCTGTTGGCATAACCTCGTACAGAAGCAGCAATCTGTCAATTGCAAGTGAAGGCTCTCAAAGGAATGTGAGAAGCCGATCTGCACTTAACTTGGAAGCCAACATAGCGAGGACACATTTATCAAGTAACACTTCTCACTATCCCCATTCTACAGCTTGTCTGGTAGACCATTCTGGGACGATGGACCTCACTGGTTTTAGTTCTAGTGCTGGTGCAACCAATTGGGAGTGGAACAACCTTCCTGTCTGTCCTACTGCTCATGGAAGGATTGTGTCTTCAGGTTAGTTAGAGAACGTATTTCCTTTTAGTATTCATATCTGTTTTGCGTTTCTGAGACTTTTTAATGAAATTTACAGATACCAGTGGCTTAGGTCATGATGTGAACCAGTTCCTTGGAAGCCATACAACTAATGGTCCTATAGAGCTTGGTAGGTATCACCGCGATTCCATTTTGAGCCGAAATTCTGTTGTTCCTCCTCAAAGTCTTCATGGTACAATTACTCAAGCTGCAAGAGGTCGCAGAGGCTATTCTCAAAGGGCAATGCCTACTTACAGTGCTGGTTCAAGCTACCCACGCTTGGGATATGCCACAGCTTCAGAGGACAGTCTACAATTGACTCCAGAAACCTACAGTGCTAGACATTCAAGACCACCATCTACCGTGGGTTGGCGTAACACTGATAGGAATGGGAGGTCAAGGATATCTCATGAGAGATTACGGTCACTTTCTGATGATGGTGATGCCCATGATAGAATGGTATCTGAGGTATGTGATAGAACTACTTTTGTGATGCATTGCTGATAAATTCTAGCTCAGACATTAAACCCCAGTATACATTGCATGTATAGAGGCAGAAACCCTGCTTTTCATGGCCCCACTCTGGAAAATTCTCAGCCGTAATACAGATTTTGATGGGATGATCCATTTAGTAATTTTCTCTACTGTGATATTTTTAGGAGCAGCTACCTAATCTCTCTCTCTCTCTCTCTGATCTCACTGGTCCACAACTTTGTAGATGAAAATGACTTGTTCGACCCTTATAATGCTATCAGGCAATTAGAAGATTCTTGGTTCCATGCCAGTAATTGTTTAATCACAAGTGATTGTCATTTCTTGGCAGGGTCTTATGATGGTGGGTCGATCAACCTTGTATGGTTCCAGAAATTTGTTTGATCAGCATAGGGAGATGAGGTTGGACATAGACAATATGACTTACGAGGTTATTATAATTTTCTCCATCACATGTTTTGAACTAATTTGCTGGTTCGTATAATTTAACTCATTTTAAAAGACTTTCGGCTTGGAGCAGGAACTACTTGCTTTAGGGGAGAGAATTGGGAATGTGAGCACAGGCTTGTCTCAAGACATGATTTCCAAGTGTTTGATAGAGATGATATATTGTTCTTCTGATGAGAACCAGGATGAAGGAACATGTGTAATCTGTCTGGTAAATTTGATTAAAATTTCAACTAGGATCACTAGAATCCTTTCTAATTCCAATTAGAATTTAGAAATCAGTTTGAATTGCTGATCGGATTTGTAACTTACCTATTCTGGATATTAATTTGACAGGAAGAGTATAAGAACAAGGAAGAGGTTGGAACACTGAAGAATTGCAGACATGATTACCATGTGAGCTGCATCAAGAAATGGTTGTCGATAAAGAATGTCTGTCCCATCTGTAAGGCACCTGCACTACCGGATAACTTGAAGGAGAAATGACTCGTTTACCTGCATATCTGTTCAATTGTAAATATGTTTGGACTGGAAAAGAGTTTTCCAAGGGATAAAAAACATTCTTTTAGGCAAAATTTGTACAGGAGATTCTCAATTTCGATGAAAGATTGTTAGTGCATTACCATGGTAGCCAGTTTTTTTTTTTTTTTATTTTGTTGTCTATTTTCCTTTTCCATGAGTTTCCTCCCTCTCGGTTGTGTTGGTGGTCATGTATATAAACAAAAATACAGGTTGCTTTCTAGGAAGGATGATAACTTTTTAGGATATAATCTTTTTCTTGCCTTCAGGAAATATTGGAATGAGTGAGGAAAGATCTTGGATGAGATGTTGGGTAAAATCCTTAAACGTACGCCAAGGTTTCAGTTTCACTAATGACTCCTGAGTTTTCTAAATCGACTTAAAACATGCTGTTTGCATGTGAAGTTACATGATCCGTTTGAACCAATCTTCTCGAATACGTATAAATACAAATTTGTACAGTGCACAACCTTGTATATTGTTTTTATAGACTTGTGATGATACGCAATCCGACCGGTCTTAGCTGTCAACGACCTTGCCTCTGAACTGAGAAGCAGGGAACCTGAAACGGAGAAGATGAGGAAGCTCCGGGGGGAACCCGGTGTAAAGGCTCCAAAG